GAACATTGAAACCACATATTTCTTGCAAGCCAGGCCTTTCCTCTTCAGCACATTAGGCCCATCTCTAATTGCTGACTCTAAGGCCTCTACTAAAGACACGACATTGGGTGAAAATGTGTATCCAAATTCTTCATCCACAACCACTGTCCCAACTATGCTTGGATAGTTTGGGGTTAGAACTGGCTTCCCACTTTGCATTGCTTCAATCAATGTAAGATCAAGCCCTTGGGGCCTCAATGTTGGGTTCACAAACACATCGAGTGCATTGTAAAATTTAGACAGCTCCAATGGCTCCAATGCTCCTAGAACCTTCACATTGGGGCCTAATTCAGCATACCTTCTTCTCCAAGGACCTGACCCTGCTACAAGCAAAAACACACCAGGGTGGCGGCTGACAATTGAAGAAAAGGCTTCGTAGAGAAGCGGATGCCCTTTGTCCCTGACCAACCGCCCTGCAACTCCCATCACAAGGCTCACATTGGCAGGCACCCCATATTTTTCTTGGAACCTTGCACCTGCTTTTTGATCCGGGGTAAATTCTGTTTCATCAACCCCATTGAGTATGACATGGACATTTCTTTGGGGGAGTTGATAGATGTTAACTAGAACCTCACCAGCACTACTGCTTATGCATATGTGTTGAGTGTAGCTTTTAAAGAATCGAATTTCTTCGACAAGCCTTGGCATTGCTTCATGAAGCTCTGTCATAGGCTCTGATAGCTGCCCTTTTGGATTTGAAAGAAGCTCTTGCAGTAATTTGGAGTGCATAATTTCATACCATATCCCATGCCAAGTGACAGCCACATTAGGCACCATTTTCGCACGCCAATGAGGCAAAGAAACACTCTCAGTATGCACATAATCAAATGCCCCATTTTCATTCACTTTATTGAAAACATCAAATGCTAAAGAGATGTTGACTGAGCCATGATCATTTGCTGCAAAATAGACATGAAGGTTACCTTCATGTATGTCCCAGCGAGGCCTCCTATCTGAAGGCACAGTGAAGACATGAATCTCATGGCCCCTAGCAGCAAGTGCATGGTACAAAGTGGAAGCATGGCGCTCCATACCGCCCGGGGCTGCACCAACAGGCCATGTCTTGGAGAAGACAGCAATCTTGAGCTTTTCAAAAGTCGGCCCGAAGCAAAGTTTGTTCCATGGGAATTTAGCATCTCTAAGATCACCATTGAATTGGGTATAATCAGCCCAGAAGAATGGTTCCTGGATGTTCCTAAGTGATGCAAAGAAGAGGAAAAAGGATGTAAAGAGTAGAAGTAAGGTGAAAATGGTTGAATATCTACAAGAGAGGAAGTTGGAAGAAGAGCTTTTGGGAGTTTGGTGCTTCAACCCCATTGCTGATTAGAGAGTCTCAAAGAAAGTTTTGGCTGGTTTGTTTAAGCCAAGTGCATAAATCAAGAATGGTTGATAAATATTATATGAATTAGGTAATGTAAGTCGTACGAAGACTTTTTGACAAGATGGTGTTTTATAAATGCTTTAGGCCATTGATGCCGGATCTCCTCGAACTTGTGTATAATTCTATATGCAAACTGCAACACATGACCTCCTTCCTTGAGATCTTATGTCGACTCTACATTTTACTTTCTTTTTTTTCAAATTTTGGTAACACTTTTACTTTCAACTCTAGATTTGACCACGTCCACTTTTTTGTGTTTCACTTGAAGATGCCTATGACCAGTGTCGAATTCATGAATTTTCATTCTGGGGGTCAACATGTAAAATGTTAAAAGAAATTCTATATAAAATAGGCCCATCAAAATGAAACTATAATATTCTAATTCATAGTTAATAAATAAAACCATACAAACTAACAAATACAATCTACTAAAAAATCATTCAAGCTAACAAAACCCTAATTCATTCAAACTAACCAAAATAAAATCCCAACAACAACCAATCAAGAGAAAAAAATTATATATATATATTAATATTCATTAATTAACAAAGACAAAAATTAATCCAATTTACCAAGATACAATCTAATTAAAGCATACAAACTAAAAAAATACAATCTAATAAAAAAAAACTAATTCTTTTAATAGAAAAAACCCTAATTTATTCAAACTAACAAACACAAAAATTAATCCAGTTAATTCTTTTTAATCAAACAAAAGAGTAGATATAGTAGACTTTGCTTAAGAGGATGAATATGCAATTGAATCTAATATAAGAAGAAAATTGAAGAACATAGCAGAAATCATGGCCCGAAATCCTTTACAATTGATCTTCTAAGATTTAGCAGGTACTCATCTTTCCTATCAAATTAAATGATAGTGATCCTCCAAGTGTTCTTTCATCAATTTCTTGGTATAGGTTTTTTTTTTTTAAAAAAAAAAAACAAAATCTTTAGTCTTCTCTCTATAGATGCTACAAGAAAAGGCAGGAACATATTCATTAATGTCTTTTAATAGTGCAAAATATATACATTTCTTGTATCATCGGCATTTCTAACTGTTAAAAAAGAATACCTAAAAATACAAACTAACAAATACAATATAATTTCAGAAAAAAAAAAACAATATAATAAAAAAACTCCTAACAAATATAACTTCGGATTGGATTGGGTAGAATTAGGGGTTGGGGATGGGGATTTAGGGTTTGAATGAGAGCATTGTGTTAAAAACCCATCCCCCAATCTATTTTATCGGGCAGCAGCTAAGGGTTTTTTTTTTAACACTTGAGCCAAAATGCCGTCGTTTTGACGTCGAGCGAACAAAAAAAAGAGAAGGCGCGCGCTGCGCTTCTTCTCCTTCAGCTGCACACAGACATAGGTTTGCTCCTTTGGGGCGTTTCGTCGAACACATTGCGAGGGTCAACTTTGGCTGCTCTAATGGAGGATTCAAAGGTTGCAGGGGTCAATTGACCACCATTGCTCCTATGTGGATCCGCCCCTGCCTATGACTGTGACAAAGTGACCATAAAAATGAGGACGGAGTTCATATGGCATAAATTTTCTGGTTGCTTCAATATTTGCCACTTTATGTGGAAAACTCTTACTTATTGGCAAGTTACGTGGTGCAACATAATCTTGTTAATTCTAGGCTACACCACAATCCCCAATGAATTTTTGACGTGAGTTAATATAACAATTAATGAGATTTACTTCCTAGCAAATTATGGATATTTATTTCCTATTAATATATGGGTGCATTTTTGCTCACCACTTTAACCCTAGGTGTATCCTCACCACTCCTGCCAAAAGTTGACACATGTCCATTGGTTTAACTATAGTTAATTCTTTATTTTGTATTTATTTGATAACATTACTATGAGAGAGAAACAATACTTCAATAAGATTTTTCTTGATTTACCCTTATTAACCTAGCAAACTTTCCACCTTTCTAAATTAATTAACAACTACCCAAATAAATAATTGGCAATTGGCTTTATATCCCGTGCTTTAATATGAATATCAATTCACAGGCTTCAATACTTTGAAGAACACACCCAGATACTTTGAATCTCAATTGGCTTTAGTTAACTCTTTTTATACACGCCCAAAAGTTACACTGTTCTTCAATATATTATTACGTTGCAATTTCTCAATATCCTTGAACCTGTTTTCTTTCTTCAACCGATGAGTTAATTATGATGTTGCAAGTTTTGGACTAATTAATTCTGGTTTTATTATTCTAAATAAAGCTTACTCCATAGGAGCAAAATATATTGGAGTTGCAGAAATTCCAAAAACGATGAAGGAACCAAGCTCTGCAATAATACCCTTCATTGTCTCATTACTCTGGCTCTGCAGTATGGTTCATTCTATCATTCCTTTCTGTGCTAGTCTTGATCCACCAGACATACCAACATCATGGACTAAAAAAACTAAATAACGCAGAGCAATCACCAAAGTATAAAAAATAATCAAGCAATACAAAGTACTATAAAAAAAAAAAAAAAAAGCAGGATAGATTATTACCTATCTTTCACTGAACAAATGGAGGAAGCTTGCAATTGAAGATCAGCATAGATTATTATTTGGGGAGTTGTTAATTAATTTTAAAAAAGTGGAAAGTTTGCTAGGTTAATAAGGGTAAATCAGGAAAAATCTTATTGAAGTATTGTTTCTCTCTCATAATAATGTTATCAAATAAATAAAAAATAAGAATTAACTATAGTTAAACTCATGGACATGTGTCAACTTTTGGGAGGGGTGGTGAGGGTACACCTAGGGTTAAGGTGGTGAGCAAAAATGCACCCAA